GGATGTTTAATCACATCTCCTTTTGTTTTCTTGATGCACATTTCATTCTTGCTTCTGAATACTATGTTCAGCTGTTTCTGGATGTTACAGTAAAAAGTATTGGTCAGAAGCAAAGATTTCTAATGTGTGCTCTTAAGACCATATATTTCTCCAGGACATCCAACTATGATCTTCATAGAGGTTTGTGGAAACTCTAGGAAGAATTCAGTGAGGATCAGTGCCTACACACACATATATATCTGTTGTACATTTAAGACACGGGTCACACCTAAAACATGCCTATCACTGAAAAGAATTTTCAATTGCAAATTCTGTTTCAGAAATGTTCTAAACCTTGTTGTCCACCTGGAACAAAGATTTTCAGTTTTAAGTGATTTGCTCCATCTTTGCTTCTTAAAGAGGATAATGTTTTCCAGTCTTTCAGCCTTTGCGAAGCGTAACTTAACTTGCTGACAAAAGTGCATGAGCAGCGCTCCTCTTTAATAGTCTGCTGTGTTGGTGCAGTAGAATGGGGCGATGGCAAGCTGTGAGCTACCATATGCACTTGGCAGTCATTGTCTGGTCTTTGTTCAGCCAACCTCTTAGTCTTGCCACCTATAAAGATAATGAATGAAACAAAGGCTTCAAATTAGCTTTTTAGTTTCAAGAAAGAAATTGGTAAACTTGAAGCATGTTGGGATAGGCAACTAAAAGGCCATGGGATTTGTTGATGTATTTCACCTGAAAGAAAGGCATAGGAGCAAAGAGGTGTATGGACTAAAAGTATTTATTTATTTACCCTATTTATGCCCCACCTTTCTGACTCTGTAGGGGACTCAAGGCGGTGTTCATATAGTCAACTATTCAATGCCTTCGAACAAGCATGCCTTAAAACAAACATTTAAACATCACAATCACTATTAAAATCACACCATCCAAAATTATTATCCAGTGCCATTCCAGAATTCATTTCACATATTTCCTATCTGTTATTGCACTACAATTACAAATAAATATTTTTTTCTAGAAAAGTACTTACATATCAATTTGCCATAATATTCTTCCAATTTTACTTATTTTATACTTCAACATTTGCTCAGTATTTTACTTTTTTGTTGAATGTGAATTTTGCTATTCACTCCGATGAGATACTTTGATCAAATCCTGGGCCCAGTCCTGTTCAACATCTTTATTAATGACTTATATGAAGTGTTAGAGGGCAGGATCATCAAGTTGCAGATGACACCAAATTGTGAGGGATAGCCAATACTCCAGAGGACAGGAGCAATATTCAAAACGATCTTGACAGATTAGAGAGATGGGCCAAAACTAACAAAATGAAGTTCAACAGGGACAAATGCAAGATACTCCACTTAGGCAGAAAAAACAAAATGCAAAGATACAGAATGGGGGGCAATGCCTGGCTTGAGAGCAGTACGTGTGAAAAAGATCTTGGAGTCCTCGTGGACAACAAGTTAAACATGAGCCAACAATGTGATGCGGTGGCTAAAAAGGTCAAGGAGATTTTGGCCTGTATCAATAGGAGCATAGTGTCTAGATCTAGGGAAGTAATGCTACCCCTCTATTCCGCTTTGGTTAGACCACACCTGGAATATTGTGTCCAATTCTGGGCACCACAATTCAAGAGAGATATTGACAAGCTGGAATGTGTCCAGAGGAGGGCGACTAAAATGATCAAGGGTCTGGAGAACAAGCCTTATGAGGAGCGGCTTAAGGAGCTGGGCATGTTTAGCCTGAAGAAGAGAAGGCTGAGAGGAGATATGATAGCCATGTATAAATATGTGAGAGGAAGCCACAGGGAGGAGGGAGCAAGCTTGTTTTCTGCTTCCTTGGAGACTAGGACGGGAACAATGGCTTCAAACTACAAGAGAGGAGATTCCATCTGAACATGAGGAAGAACTTCCTGACTGTGAGAACTGTTCAGCAGTGGAACTCTCTGCCCCGGAGTGTGGTGGAGGCTCCTTCTTTGGAAGCTTTTAAACAGAGGCTGGATGGCCATCTGTCAGGGGTGATTTGAAAAATATTCCTGCTTCTTGGCAGGGGGTTGGACTGGGTGGCCCATGAGGTCTCTTCCAACTCTTTGATTCTATGTTCTGTAAATAGCTTGTTAGGTAGAAATCCTGTAAGCTTTTTGTACACTCAGAAACATTTATTTGCCTATTTACAATGTTTTTATGTTCCTCTTCAGCTCTCAAAGAATGTCCGAATAGCTAGTGTTGGTGCATAGCACACTAAACTATTTTGTCCCAGTGGCATGGTGCTTTACTATTCTCTTATGCTTATCTTGATATTTATTCTACAATTAAAAAGATAAATTTGAATTTCCCTACCAACCAGTTTACTATTATCAGCTCAGTAGTTTCCATGCTACATTTCTAAATTCTAAAATTAACATTTTTATCTTATAATGCATCTTGGGAAGGCATCAGACATCAATAAAATATTTTTATATTATGATATTGATTTTTGAGTGTAATTTCTGTGAAAAAACAAGATCACCAGTTCATCATATTTCTGCCAAATGAGGCCATTTTCAGCTGTGAGCCCCCACATGTTGTTAGGCAGCAGCTCCCATCACTTCTTTTCATTGTGTGTAGTGATCAAGGATGATGGAGACAGAAACGCTGTCTGTAAGAGAATGAAACAGTTTTACTGGTCATGTTTTATGGGCTTGGCTGTAAGCACTGCCCCCATAAAAGAGTGCCTGAGAAGTCACTTGCATTTCAAAATAATGGATTGCGTACTGTCTTTCAACATTACTTAGACACCCTTGTAATTGTGGAAGATTTTTGAGGAGCAGGTATATAGGGTAAAACTCTGATCTTTACTTTGATGGCAGAGCATGCACACAAGGGGGCATAGATCAGTAATTTTGCAAATTGCTTTGTCTCAGTTTAATGCTATTGCCAGTTGAAGGGTCTTAGATAGCTGGGCTGGAAACAATTCTCTGCCTGAAACCTTGGAAGAGCTAGCATGAGTGAAAGTAGACAATGTTGGGCATAGATGGACCAGTGATGGTAGTATATGGGTTGTTCATGACAGTTCATTGATTTTTCAAATATTATATTGAATGTATGGAAATGAGCATTTTTGTTGTAATGTGCCCCAGTTAGGGCACATTACAACCAAAGGATTTACTCAGCAAAAATATTCAGAGGAAGTTTGCCATTGCCTTCATCTAAGGCTGAGATAATTTGAGTTGCCAAGATCTTCCATTGGGTTTGCATGGCTTAGTATGGATTTCAACTCTTGTTTCTGGTGTACTGCTCTAACTTTCAAACTGCTATACCATATTAACTCTCAGTGAGTATTTACATTTTTAAAGATAATGAGATGAACTCTGTGGTTACTGTTCTTTATATGCATTGCCTTACATGGAGCCCCCGGTGGCGCAGTGGGTTAAACCCCTGTGCCGGCAGGACTGAAGACCAACAGGTCACAGGTTCGAATCTGGGGAGAGGCGGATGAGCTCCCTCTATCAGCTCCAGCTCCTCATGCGGGGACACGAGAGAAGCCTCCCACAAGGATGATAAAAACATCAAATCATCCAGGCGTCCCCTGGGCAACGTCCTTGCAGACGGCCAATTCTCTCACACCAGAAGCGACTTGCTCCTGACATGACCAAAGTGCCTTACATAAGTGTTCACATGCACCCTTTAATTTTTCCATCTCTTTTTTTGGTATTATAACCTGGAGTTGAAGGCTTATTTGCAAAATATTGCTTATGGTCATAAAGCAAAAACAACAGTGATGTATAGCTTCCATAGGTATTCATCTCTTTTGCAGGGCATGCCATGTGTGTGCAGTTTCAGTGCCACATCATATCAGATTTAACTACACCTGCTTCAGTAAGACCCAGAGTTTGTTGAGGAGCATATCTAAATAAACAACATCATGAAAACCAAAAAAGCTATCAAAACAAGTCCCAGATAAAGTTGTGCAAAAACACTGATTGGGGTTGGGTTATTTAAAAAAAATAACGAACTGTGAATATCTTCAGGAACAGTATTATATCCATGATTGTAACATAGAAGAAATATGTCTCAGCTGTGATTTTACCTAGTGAAGGATATTCGTCAAAGACACAACCAAGTGTTAACTCAAAAGAGATAGAGGTATAGCTGAGGTGGGAAAGGGGTAGTTATTACCCAATTCCCAGAAAATCTGGATTTTATGGGGAAATGATGAGAGGAAAGCTGTTAAACAACTTAAGTTGTGTGATTTCAAGTCATTTCCAACCTATGGTGAACATATCACAGGGTTTTCTTGGCAAAATTTGATAAGACGATGCTTTTACCTACCTCTGAGGCTGAGTGAATGTGATTTGTCTAATGGTTTCCATGGGAAAGTAGGGATTCAAACCCTGGTCACCAGAGTTGTAGGCCAGCTCTCAAACCACTACCACATGGTAGCCCCTACCTATATCAAGTAACATTTGTAATCTGCAAAAGAGCATGTGGGAGGTACAGAAAACATCTGGGGAAAACTTCTCTGGGCGAATGAAGCCAAATTGACCTTTTTGACCTTTTGCCTACTCCCCATAAGCAAAACACCGGTAATTGTTTTCATCAAGCATGTACTAGTATGGTATCCCTTGCTAATGAACGAGAAAGTTTATTTCTAGTAGTTGTATGTATGGATTAACTATAGTATAGGGTGGGGCATATTGTTATAACATCAGTCTAATGCAAAATTGTAATCTCAATTGTTTAACCATACTGCTGTCAGAATTTATTTATAGTGACTTGTTACTTTCAGGATATGTCATATGAATTGTGCGTATCAACTACCTCCTCCATTTAACCCATGCAAATATGTGTCGGACAAAAAGGAATAAATAAATAAATAATCAATTTATACAAGAAATGTCCTTGACAGAGAGAACAGAGTTCTATTTCCTATGTAGTGCCACCCAAAACATACAGTGTGTAGATGTTTTCTCAATTGCTTGTTGAAAATAATAATAATTTTTCCCCTTTCCCCTCCTGTCTTGTTCATAGAATTCATCTGACAAAGAAGATTGTAACAATGATGAACCCCCAAGGAAGATCATTCCTGAGAAGAATGCACTCAGGCAGGTATGCCGTTGATTCATCTCTACTGAATTCCTCTCCTCACTCCTCTGCTTGAAACATGTGTTTCTCTTTAGCTTATTTTGAAAAATACAAACTATATAGAGACATTATCCATTCCAGTAATTCCAACCCGTTTACTGAAAAGCATTCTTGGAGGCAGTGTCTTTCCAGAGTCACATGGGAGCTTCCCTCTAGATCAGGCCTGCACAACCTGCAGCTTTCCAGGTGATTTAGACTTCGCCTCCTGGAATTCCTGACCATTTGACATGCTGGCTAGGGGTTCTGAAGGTTTGGTGTCCCAAACCTCTCGAGGGCCACCCGTTTGTGGTTGTGCAGGCTTGCTCTAGATCAGTGTTTCCCAAACTCTGGTCTTCTGGGTGCTCTTAGACTCCCAGATCATTGTGTATGGAAGCTGAAGCTTCTGAGATTTGAAGTTCCAACATCTGGAAGACTAGAGTTTGGGAACCCTGCTCTATATCTTATTTCAGTAAAGCTTTGAAGGAAGACTTGATGATTAGCCAGGCAAGGATGTTTTTTCCATTTCAGATCCACCTGGTCATTTTACATTCAAAATAGATGTTCATATCTTCTACATTCTGCTTCACCTCTTGTGTAGTAGTGAGGTTGTAATATCTTTAGGCAAAGGTTCAATAAACATGTCTTAATTCTTATTTATTGTGTGATCGTATTAATTTGAACTAAACAAATGCTCAGATATGTTCCTGACCCCACCGAAGTCTCAGACAAGAACAAAGAGAAAGTCTCCCTTTAACACTTTACAAGATATTTCATTAAGAAATAGGAGTACTCAGAAGAAATAGTTGTAGTCCTTTTATGAAGAAAAAAACATACATTTTTGAACTATGTAGATTGTATAAAGTCTTCATTTTAAAGAAAGAAAAAAGAGGTGGTCCATCCCTTAGTCACGCCTCATATGGATTGTTGCAATGCACTCTACGTGGGGCTGCCTATGAAGATGGTCCGGAAGCTACAATTAGTGCAAAGATCTGCAGCTACACTGCTGAACGGGGCGGATTGTAGGGAACATACTACCCCCCACTTAAAGCAGCTTCATGGTTTTCTGATCTGCTTCTTGGGCCAATTCAAAGTGCAGGTCATTACCTATAAAAACCTACACAGATAGGGTCCTGCCTATTTATGTGACTGCATCTCTCCTTATGAACCTGTTTGGGCTTTAAGATCACACTCTTATAACTTTCAGGAAGGAGTTGAAAACCTGGCTATTTAACTGGCTTTTGATAATGGCTAAGGGTATCAACTACTTTATCAGACAGGACTTCAAATGGATATTAGAACGAGAACTTATAATGCTGGATACCCTGACATAGGAATTGGCTGGTTTTAAACAGTGTGTGTACACACACACACACACACACACACTACTTTTAGAGGGCTAAATAGTCTATTAAATTGTTTGTTTATTCATGTTTACACTGTTGTGCTATTTTGTTTTTATTAATTGATTTGTGATTATTCTCTCTGTTATATTATTTACTTCATTTGTTTGCTTTTCTATAAGCCGCCCCAAGTCCCTTCGGGGAGAGGGGCAGGGTATAAATTAAGTTTAATAATAATAATATAAAGGTATATTTTCTTCTAGCCAAATGCTGGCTTTTGTGGTGACTCAAAACTCTAATGGTGTGCAGTATTTTGTAACTGACAGTACCGAGATCAATTCAGCTTTGCATTTCCAAAGCAGAGCTGTTATACGAGGTACATTTAAGTATGTTACATTTCATGAAGACCAATACCAGTGTCTGTTATCCTCCATCTGCCAGAGGTTTAGAAAAATAAATATGGGTAGGCGTAATCAGTTACTTCTCATAGAAAATGGGTGATGGTGATGGTATAAAAACAGCATGGTGGTGAGAGGTATGATTGTGTGTTAGTGGGTATGTGAAGTCTTGTAGAACCATTACAAGGGAACAAAGTTTTTGGCAACAACGTTTAAGCTAACGAACGAATGTTCTCACTGCTAAGTTATAAATTAATTTTAATAGGCTGATCCAGATGGTCCATTTGGAAAATGGATAGCTTGATCTGTTGAAAATTAAACTAAATTTATCTCTCTCATACTTCAAACTGAAGCTAGTGTGAAAGGAGTGCCCATTAAGTCCAGTGAATACAGATGGACCAGCAGGTCACACATGGGACTAATTTGATTCATTTAAAAAATAAATGTGTAAATTATTGAATAAGATTCCTGGTATGAGTCCTGTTTTGTGCATGTGTGCAGCTTTTTTTTCTAGAAAGACTCTCAAATGCTTCAGTGCCTTTTTAACCTGTGTGTTTCCATTTTAAATGCAACATTCTTGCCAAAACCTGTAATTAGTTTTCAGTACCCATCATTTAGCGTTGGATCAGAATGGTAGATTGATTAGGTCGGGCATTTGTTATTTTAAGGGCTTCCTTTCCATTGAAAAGTTGGGGCTTCTCATCCGAGGGAGGGGAAGAAAGAGTACTCTAGCCTTTGGAAACCAATGAGGGGGAAGCTCTCCAGGGATCTTTGCGCCTTTTGGCTGTGGGGTTTGTTAAACAGAGCCATGAATGCAGATTTGTAAATTTATCGCTGTGCCATCTGGGTTTTCCTTTTCTCTTTGCAGGAACCATATTATTGTTGGCTTGTTTCTGTCTATTGTGGTGGTCACTCCCCAGGAGTTTGCCCTCCTTCTCCAAAGGAAAGTGATGAATAGCAAGGGTCAGTAAGCATAGGTCACAGGGCAGCTGTCCAGGGCTGCCCTGAACTTGATTACTCTACTGTCTTAATAAAAAGATTGACACAATGCAAGTTGTTTAAAGAAAGCTTATCTCCTTTGCTCAAATGGGGTAATAATGAAGTGCCTTTTTGCTGTCAGGACTTGCTCTGTGGGGCAAATAGGAGGAGTCTCTATGGAGAGGAAATTGTGTCAGGGGTGCATATGGGGAAGTGCTGATAACAGTAGAATTGCAATGACGTGCATTGTGGGTTTTTTTTTAAAAAAAATTGCTAGAGCTTCCATATGAAATGAAAGTGTAGCAATCATCATTGTCTCCCTATCACCGCGAAGCTTTTGTCTTCATCTTCCTTCCAACATCAATACTTTCATGAATTCACTAGTGCAAACATTGCAGTCTTATGGGTAAAATGTCAAGAATTTTAAAGGGCTTAAAGGCTTTTGCCATTTTGTTAGGTTGTATAATTTTACAGGCATAACCAACCATAGGATGCTTACAAGTAGACATAATAAGGCTGAGGCAGAGTAAAAGATGCATCACTTCATAACTTACTGTAGAATGGGGTATGAGTAATGGGAAGGATATTGGAATAGAACCCAAATAGTTTATCAAATATTTAATACTTGTTAGGAAAAATTAGAAGTGCTCATAAATTATGTGTGCCCTTTCTGGTTAATATTTTTAAAAACCTTTGTTTTATTTCTCTTCTAACTAAGCAGAAATTGGAGCACAAATTTGAGGCTTTATTATTTGAAATATTTGCGACTTCTCAGCAGAGACGTAGTTTCGTAGTTTGAGAACCTGTTGGGCCTCCCTCAACCTTTAATGTTGGTCCTGGCTGTCAGATGTGCTGCTTTTCAGTGTTCCCCTGCACCAGAGTGAATTGCCAACATTATCTATTCTCCTGACCTTTTGTTTCCATGTCCACTTAAAGCCCAGTGAACGTGGATAGTAATAAATAAAGCTCTGAACAGGATTCTCAACTCTTTGAAAACAGCATGCTGCCATCTCTCGAGTTATATTTCTTTAAGTGTTTACGTGTATGCTGAACCCTTTTCTCTTGTGTGGTTGGAACCCTGGGGCCTCAGAGCCATGAGAGAGGCCAAGGAACTAACAAAGTGACTGTCCCCTTGTTAGTGTGTCCCTTTCTTTAAACAAAAACAAGAAAAAACCCATCTGGCTGTAGGGCATTGCATTTTCCTCCTCCATGCACTTCTATAGATGAAGAGTTTCACCTGCAGTGAGGGTTTACATTGATTAGCGAGGGTGTAGTAATTCAACTCCGACCATCCACTTCAGTGATACTTTGCAGTCTTTAAAGGTGCTGACCCATTGAGTTAAACTGTCAAGAGGAGGATAAAAAAGGAGCTCCGTCCTAGGAGGTAACAGCTGCCAGGTTTTCAACACCTTGTGCACTGCTGGAGAAATGTCAACTATTGTCAATGGGAAGAAAAATGACTGACTTGGACGCCATCTTCCCTTTTAATGACTAGCCTTATAAAATGAAGGATTTAAACCTCTGAAAATCAGCACGCAAAGGCAGGCTGTCATTGGCAGGAAGAAAATTGAGACACTTTTAAATAGGTTTTAGAGATACATCCATGGGGGGAGATAGAGACAGCCCAGCAGGTTAGGGTGCCCTTTGAATTATGGAGCATAGATATAAACATTTCAGCATCTGAACACAACAAACATTGGCTTATCTGCTTTATTTGGTATTTTTTTAAAAGCAGGGAAGAGAGCAAGATTCATAAGCCAGTGAACTGAGAGAAAACATACTGTATTTCTGCTCTTTGGAGGACAATTTGTTTTCACGCTGCTACCAGATGGCTAAATACCATGACATTTCTCTTTTGTTTAGGGTTGTGTGTGTGAGTGTGTTTTTAAGGTTGTTTTCAGTTTTTGTTTTACAAGCAATTCAATTCTCCTTGCTTTTGTCAATATTGCCTCACTGAATAACCTCCTAGGGTGGGAATGGATGGAGGAAAGAACAGTACAGAAAATGGCACTACCCTTTTCTTTTCCATTTGATAAAAAAAATAAATAAGGAAGGACAAACAAAACGGCAAGATAATGAAGTCTCAAAAATGAGCTGAGTATTTCCTTTCTCCCATTCCCATTTTGTTTTTAGGTTAGTCATTTTAATTGTACTGAGTAATTAGAAGGTACATACAGCCAAGGGAGTATTGTTATGGAAATTGCTCAGGAAAACCCATTCTCCATCTACTATTGCCATGTGTTGAGACAATTCTTCCCTCTAGCGGCAAAATTAGGGACTCTTGCCTCCACAGTAGGCAAGGTGTAATTGCAATGTGACAAACTGAGCTTTGGGGATGTTTTTGTAAATGTTCCTGATTTTGGCTTAGTCTGTATTTTGTCATAGTGACTTCCTGCAGAGAAGTTTCTCCTCCCCAAGTGTTTTGAGCTATGAGAGCTAGAAATATAGCCTTAAATTTAGTAATACTGATCACAGTGGGTTCTGGGTAATGCCTTGCAGCTTGATTTAATTTCCATCCTCCTTTTAAAATTACCTATTTATTTTTTAAAGCTTTTAAAATTGCTTGTATTATTTAATACTTTTAGAAGAAGCACCTTTTAGAAGGAAATGTTCCTTCCTTCCTTCCTTCTTTCAAAAAGTACTCTGTGTGAACGACCTTAAGGGTAATTAATGGAGGTCTCCTAAGGCCCCATAAGTGAGATGAAAGCTATCTTTCTGAATCTGCAGGAGTGATTTGTTTATATAACTTCCCACTTCCACTGAATTCTTCAGAGTCTAATAACTATTTTCGTACCACTTGGCAATTGGTGCTTTGGTACAAAAGCCCTTGTTTGAACAATGAAAAAAAGAGTTTAATAATCTTGTCTCTGGAAATGACTCGGCGGCAGACTGTGCAGTGGATTTTGTGGTGGTTTTACAATATTTCTCTGATAAATCATGTAATTATTGACGAGTGGGGGAAGAAGTCTTATTGAACACTTAGGTCCCTGCACCCATTAAAAAGTGATGTTGTCTTCAGAAACGGGGATCTTTTGGATGAATGGTGGAAGAAATGGCTTTTTCAATAGTCCACATGATTGCAAAAGAAAAAAGAAAAGAAAAAAGAAAGCTGTTTTATAAGGAAAGCTTGGAAAACTTCTCAAGAGATTCAGTGAATGTTAGGGTTTCTTCACCATGGCATTAGTATATTGTAGCATAGGTTGCCTTGGCCATTGTGGGGAACTGCTCTGATAGTCTGAGAGCCCCTGTTTGTCACATTCTTTTCTTACGTTTTTAGATACGTATTCAAACATATAATGTGTCGGTCCTTTAGATATTTTAAAGTCAGAATCAGCAAACCCTTGATAATGATGCATTATATGATTTCTAAAAAATAATTTCATGGTAGTTTTCTCTGACTAGAGGAAAAAATATTGACTAAACACATTAAGAGTGTATATTGACTAAACACATTATTGACTAAACACATTAAGAGTGTGTACATTGAGTCCCCTTCGGGGTGAGAAGGGCAGCATATAAATGCCATAAATAAATAAATAAATAAATAAATAAATAAATAAATAAATAAATAAATAAATAAATAAATACTGAACATTCACAGTGATTTTAAAATGTGCAATTTTGTAATCCTTTTGAAATTTTAGTTTTTTTCTTTTTCAGTGTACCCCAGTCTAACCGCAAATTAGAACAGTTTGTTCAAATTTTGCAAATTGTGTAAGACTTTCTCAGGGAATGGATTCGGCATTTTTATCCCTTGGTGCTTCTCCGTGCAGTCCTGCTCCTGACATGATTTGAAGTGCCTGCATGTTTGTAGGCTTTCTTTTCCATTAGTGTGTGTTTTGCTATAGGCTGCTTAACACCCATCTCAAACAGCTTTTGCAAGGTTAAAGGAATGCGGCTTGGTAACAAGTTTGTGTCATTTTAAATATATACCTTCCAGTAAATAAGGAGGAGCCTAGCAATCAATCCCTTTTAGTGTGTTATATGTTTCACCTGACAACTAAACCCTCTATTGATTAGCCATTACTTTGTTAGATAATCCTGTGTCATTGGAGCCACTGTAAAAATTAAACTCTTTAAAATGCTTTACCCTAGCAGTCGTGTGGAAATTGAAAACTTGTTCAGAATTATAGTCAGCTTTCACCAAAAGGGTAGTTTTCAACAAACTGGTTTATGCTTGCATTCTTTATATGCAGTATAAAACCATATTAAAGCACTCCAACGCAAAGCTATCTGCCTCTGGCACAGAATCAGGCTGCCATTTCAAACATTGCTTCCTGTGGCTTGGAAATGGCCTCTCGAGTTGACTGGGAAAGAGATGCTTGGACCGAACTGGGAATCTTTTAATAGCCAGTACGTGTTAATCCCACAAAGGCAAAACGATGGTAAAATCTGAAACTTTTTTGTGTACTTAAGGCTCTACTGTTAGGAGTTTTTGATCAATAATACATTTTAATCAGTTAGAAGTTATATCAGATTAACTGGGCAGCAGTTTTGATCAAATCTTTTTTTTTTTAAAAGAAGTTATCAAGGTGATACTTTCAGAAAATATTCTCCCAACTGTATCACACACATTCCACCCCTAACCTTAGCTTCTCTCTTTAAATCGTACCTGAGACAACTGTGGGTATTATCTACAAAGCACATGAGAGTTTTTTCATCACAAACATTTCTTATTTAGATTTCAGCGTTAATTCTTTAATTCTATGTTTTTGGTTAACTCACATTTCTAAAATTGAATGACAGTGCTGCTATCATTTTTTTCTTCTGGAAGAGGCTACAAGGAAAACATCTTGCTTATAAACTATTTCACTCACAATGCTAAAAGAAAATATTCTACAACTCCCAATTTTCATTTTTAATGTATTTTGATCTCCCTTTGTATTTTTGAGTTTTCATTTGTGGTCCTTCATGCCTCTAGCTACTACTGCTGGATAAATTATTCTCAAGGAGCTTGAAGAATTCCTTCTTTGATATAGGATGGCACATGGATGAGAAAGGCTTAAGAAAATGTTCTACCTTCTAAGCATGGGCTTTTGCACTGAAATATAGTTTATATGTGTATTCCCTACTTTAATTCTAAAAGCTATGTGGCAAGCAAACTATTTATATAAGACAATGTACACTGTCTCATATAATTGTCGTTGCTCGTCTTTTTCCATTTCTCAGTTCTTTTTATGAGAATACATGCTTTACGTATACTTGGTATCATGGAGGATTAACAGAAACAAAACAATTGTATTTGTTTTACTAATATTCTACTAATGTTGTTAGTGTCTTCTGTTTTTATTTTGTGTGTGTTTGTTGGTTTGGTTTGCTCCTCATAAATTGGCAAAAACAAACAAGTTACTCATTCTTCAGGTGTTCCTTATAGAGCAGAACCTTATATATTTATTTTAACATAACAAAAGCAAAATTTTGAAAAGCACTGTATATTCCATTTTTTAAAAAGCTGTACTTTTATTATATCAAACACAATATTTTTATGCCAAGCCAAAATCTACATAATGCATTTTATGTTCCTAAAGTACCAAAGTGACCTCCAATTTGTAAGGGGTGATTACGTTGCATTTTCCTTTTATTTATTTTTTCCGAAAACATCTGGGGTTTGTAAAAAAATGAAATCCCCTTCCCCCAATTACTTCTAAATTTCTGGAAATTTTTCATCTAGCAATAGTAGCAACAGATGGTTCCAAGTGGAAAGGAAAAACTCCATCACAGTTTCTATTTCCACAAGCAGCATGTTAGCTTCTTTGTTTCTGATGTTCAGTGGACAGGTTCAAATGATTTTGTTCACTGTTACTGCTGCATACTTTCGATTTTGGGGGGTTTTTTGTTTTGTTTTGTTTTTTTGCTTCTCTGTAAAGCACTTCTGAACATTTTTGGATGTGAAAAGAAGCATCCAGTTTTAGTAAATTACAATACTATATATCATCCAAAGAACATAAAGGGCTATCTCATGCTCTTTATGCTTCTTGTCCTGACCATTAACATCATATAAATATTATTTTGTGTCTTGTTCTGCTCCCCATAATTCTGGAACACTTCAGTCAATAAAGTACAATTCCTCTGGATGATGGTGGGACATTTCTCTGTTATATATAGGAAGGTTTGTGCATAGGGAGGATGATCTTTATCACCATCATCTTTCAAACAAAGAGTTGCGTCAAGGCGTATCTTTCCACCAGCAGTGGAATGGTCCCTTGCCATGTGTCTCCAACATTGTTTGGAGAAGAGAGTTTTATGCCAAGAGTAATTTGGATGAGCAGCAGAAGAAGAGGAGATCTTGTTGTGCAAGCAGACCTGTCCAAAGTACCCAATCTTGTGGTCAAGTCTTTTCCTCCTTCCATTTTGTTCTCCATCTTCTGTCCATCTCCAATCAATCAACAGCTTATTAAACTACAGGGTACTAGATAAATCCAAATTAGCTATTTGAGGCAGTGATGTTCTTCTCTTCCCCCTCTTTTTAAAATTAAAATTTATTTTCTATTTCTTTTTCTGGCTTTATAGATATTAAAGATTAAAGTCCTTAGAGAGTGACATGTCTATTACATACAGTATGCATCCCTTATCCACAGGGAATGTGTAAAAATTGTTGGTAATAGTAATCCCTATTTCTGACCATACTTGGGCCAGAAGTAAACCTTAGAATCACACTGGAGGGCCTGAAGTGACCCGCAAACACTTCTAGGGGAGAGGGGAGAGTTTTTGGAGCATGGGTAAGTGAAAGTGTGGGTATTGAATCCATGAATAAGAGGGTCATACTGCACTATACAGTATGATGGACTGTGAAATGCATTGTTTCATTTTCTGTTTGCAATCAATGCAGGAATGTAGTTAGTTGCACTGTATACATGCAAAACCTAAGATCTTTTATCCAAAACCACTTTTTCCCACTCTTCACAGACCTATAACAGCTGTGCCAGACTCTGCATAAACCAGGAAGCAGTATGTTTAGGAAGCACCGCTATGAAAACTGAAAACTGTGTGGCCAAAGTAAGTAAAGCAATGACTACCACTGTTGTGTTAGGTCAGTGAGCTACAAGTTCTGTGTAGACTGTACAGGCATTCTTGCATTTTAAAATTATTGTTTCTGAACATATCTGATCCAAAATAGCCCTAGAACCGCTAGAATCTTATGGAACCTTTGCTATAACTGTTAATAAATGACCAGTCTGCTTTATGTGCATCCTAAGAATTAATACTGTTTTTCCCTCATTTCCCTAGTTTAAAAGACCAATTCTGTTTCTTAAAATGAAATTCTAGACCCAATTGATGGAATATATACTGAATATATATTCCTAGGTCTGGCGTATATATACAAACACACACACACACACACACGGTCTGGCTTAGCCATTTTTCCTTCAATTCCTAATTTGTTTCTTTTTATACACTCTTGTTTAAAAGAAATTGACCATACTTGCTTTCATCACAGAGAACTATTTGAGTAAAGGTATCATGACAGTGGGAGCCCCCGGTGGTGCAGTGGGTTAAACCCCTATGCCGGCAAGTCTGAAGACCAACAGATTGCAAGGTCGAATCCGGGGAGAGACGGATGAGCTCCCTCTATAACTCCAGTTCCTCATGCGGGGACATTAGAGAAACCTCCCACAGGGATGATAAAAACATCAAATCATCCGGGCGTCCCCTGGGGAACGTCCTTGCAGACGGCCAATTCTCTCACACCAGAAGCGACTTGCAGTTTCTCAAGTCACTCCTGACACACACACACACACACACACACAAAGTGGGGACAACATGCCATTTCACCTCCTAAATCTGCATTTCACCTTCTCTCTTCTGGCACTGAAATGTGCTAAAACTATGAGCATGTGATACCCTTCTCTTGTATGAAAGTCACACTGTAGGAACCCAGAGATTCCCATACTCAATGGAGGCCTTTGAGAGCGGGCCATAGAAACACTGCTGAAGAAGCCTCTGGTTTTAAACACATGCTAAGGGATTGCAAATTGGGAATGTTCCATTTTATATTGCCACATCAAAAGAAGCATTCTCGGTGAAATGTGCATCCTGCCTTAGCTTTCCATGCAACTAAATATAACTCCTATAAAACAAGAACTGCGTCTGAGGGATTGTGAATGACTGGAAAACATTCCAGCTACAACACAGTGTGTATAAAAAGGGCATGTTTAGCCTTGCTTAAGCTTCATGTTTCCATTGGAAGGAAGTTCAGGATAGCCCTGCAGGACAGATCAGAGGATACAGCCATCTGTTAGCAAAACCAGCTGGTGCTTTCGCAGCATCTTCCCCCCGCCTCTTCTCACCCCAACAGGATGGAAGATAGGAAAATTCGCACCTTCTTCTTAATCCCCCTCCCTTAGAATTTCCTCTTGTAATCCCTGTTTTCCAGAATATGCCTGATAAATCTATAGATATGTCATAGCCAAATTGTCTTTCTGAGACATACATTGGAATTTTAAATATATCTTGGTGATAGAGGATAATGCTGTTTAGCTTTTTTCAACCTTTCAGTCAAACTGCCCATTGCACAGAACTGGTCTCCGTAAGATGTCATTCTAAAATTCCCAAGTATAATGGTCTATTTAAGTCTAGTGCCAGGGTGTGAACAGCCTGGGCAATTGCCCATTGTTCATAGCTCTGTAGGAAGCTGGTTCAATCCAAGTCAATAAACTCTCCCTAAAGTGAGATGAATGCCTTTGCATGAATTTCATCATGTGAAAATAAAATTGTGCTGGAGGGCCAGGCTGTTCAGAGCCACAACTGCATAAGACTGTGCCTGCCCCTGTGTGCTATTGCCAGTGTGCAATTCAGTAGCTAGGAGCTGCAGTGAGTTCAGAACACATATTACAGCTTAGGCTGTAGCTAAGTGGTTGAATGGGTATGTAAACCAGAATTGGTGTCTCCACTGCAGTTGGGCTACAGCTGCATCAAGTTGACCCCAGGTGTCATTTGTCCCAATTCAGTTTCTTCATTATCACAGAACTGTTATAATGTAGTGAACAAAATATGGTTAGAATTTGGGCTCATAGCATTGGTGAGAATAGAGCCATCTTTTCCCCCCTGATGCTTCAGAGAACATAGATTCATGACTGGATCTTCTCATAGTATAAGGGACAGCTGATAGTATGAAGTACAATTTTGCATAATTTTATACAGGTTGAGCATCCCATAGCCAAATCTGAAATACTCCAAAATTGACTGGAATAGAGTTTTGTTTTGTTTTTTTGCTTTCTGATAGTTTCATGCACAATAGCTTTCTGTTTTATGCAAATTATTAACGTACTGTGTATAAAATAACCATAACATATATATAAGGAACATATGACACAAATAAATTTTGTTTTTAGACTTGGTCCCATCTCCATGTTATTTCAAAATTTGCAAAACAAATCCAAAATATTAGTCCCAAGCATTTTGGATAAGAGAAGCTCAACCTGTCCTAGAGTATTTTAAAACTGGTATATTGTCTTTCTTACATTTTGTACAAGTAGTGCTTTTTTCTTATTATTTTCCAAGTGTTCAGCCCTGTTTTGTTTTTTCTTTTAAAATTCCCATTTGAGCTCTTGGTTTGCAGTTCACATCCTGAGATTATATAAAAAAATAGCTTGGTAAGATTTTCCCATCACATAGCTCTTCCAGTGAGAAAATTTTATTTTGTTCAGAGCTCATTGGTTTGACCAGAACTTCCATGTGGCTTTCATGAAGGCATGAGGGAGATACACTTACAAAATGTAGTTTGCAGCACCTTTAATTAAAGGTGTGCCCTTAAAATGGCTGCCCACAAAAATTAGAACTCTCTTAATTTCCCCTGGGATCTTGATAAACATCTATGAGAAGAAAGCCAGAGACAAAAAAATTAGATAATGAATCCTGGTCTCAGATAAAAGACATGTTCCTTCCAAGCACTGCTTCTCCAGGGTATCTATTCTTGTCTACATGGTTTGCATATTTATCGGCCAGTGGGTTTGTTTCTTTGGTGGAGGAATTGCACTTTTCTAGGAATTCGATATATCTCCCGACAGTGTATGTAACAGAACTATGTCACCAACTCAAACCCTTTCTGTTTTGATATTAGAGTTCATTTGTTTATGCAGATACCAGTCGTGAAGCAGGAAGTAATGTTCATACAGGCTAGATGTTTCACAGGTGAAATGTATTTTGCTTTGTAAACTCACTGCATGTAAATTGAAAGTTTAAGCCCTTATGGGGCTTCCCTTTGTATAGATGGAGTTAATTTTTTTTATAACCCTGAACAACGCGGTGCCTTTCAATGAAATGTAAATGTAAAACTGCCTTAAATATTACATTTTCATAAACAGAGTTACTGAATGTGAGACGCCCTTTTTGTGACAAACGTCTAATGATCTAAAAGAAGAACTGAAATCCCTATATTTGATAATAATCTGTAAGCACAAATCCACTAAATCTTATGAAAGAGGCATAAAACCACAAATGAGTTTTAATCTGATTTCTAACAATAAGACACATTTGTCAATTCAGAAGTTTTTCCACCTGGCAGGAATATTAACATTTTGACTACCTTTAGATATAAATACTGAACTTAAATTGGCAAAGCATCTGAGTCAGACCTATATATCCTGGTGTTTTAGGACAACTTTATTTATTTCTCGTGTCAGGGCAGCCAGTCAATTATATTACATTTCTAACAGAACAAAGCAAACAAACAGACATAATACAAAATGTGTGAGTTTGGTAGTTGATTAAATGTCCTTTGACCAGTATCTGGCCACTTGGAGTGCTTCTGGTGTTGCTGCAAGAAGGTCCTCCATTGTGCATGTGGCTGGGCTCAGGTTGCATTGCAGCAGGTGGTCAGTGGTTTGCTCCTCTCCGCACTCGCATGTTCGAGGATTCCACTTTGTAGCCCCATTTCTTAAGGTTGGCTCTGCATCTTGTGGTGCCAGAACACAGTCTGTTCAGTGTCTTCCAAGTCGCCCAGTCCTCTGTGTGCCCAGGGGGGAGTTTCTCATTTGGTATCAGCCATTGGTTGAGGTTCTGGGTTTGAGCCTGCCACTTTTGGACTCTCGCTTGCTGAGGTGTTCCAGCGAGTGTCTCTGTAGATCTTAGAAAACTATGTCTGGATTTAAGTCGTTGACGTGCTGGCTGATACCCAAACAACTTAGGACAACTGAGAACGCATTTCAGGCTATAGACTCATCTGACTTTTTAAAAGGGTTTTTTGGCTGATCTTTTGATTGAATGTTAATTATCTAAGTCGTTTTTAAATTTTATTTTAAAATTGTACTTACGTACTTAGCACCTTGCGAAAATATGTTGAGATATCCCTTCCAGGTTTAGTTCTACCATTGCAGATAGGCAGCCTCACCTAAGACATCCTCATGCTGGAGGTCAAAGGCAAATGTGTTTTTAATGAGGCTTATTGAAACTGGTCAAATGAGCAGCTGTTCTCTCCTTTTGTAAATTTAGGTCCTCAGACTGTATATTGGTGATTGCTTGAACTGAACTGTCTAGTTAAAATGGTGTAGTTTTTTTTTAAATGTTAGTAATATCTTAAAGATGCAGAACACCTCCAAAGGTATGGAAGGAATAGGATCCTGAGGTTAGTAGATGTTTTCCTCTCCATATTAGCCGAGTCATGACTGGACTGAATTCTCTTTAGCACTGAATGGAATCAGGGAGGCCACCACTCAACCTCATTGTGATTTGAGAAGTCCTTCTTTGTTCCAGTGGTACTCAGTTCTTATTGTAAAATGAGGAACTGGTGTCTTGTTCTTTTTCGTACCTTGTGTGTATTCTATCCAGAAATCTTCAAAGCATATCCAACAGGCTTTAAATATATGGCTGTGTGTCAGAATTTCAATATGCAGCAGAGCATACATGAGAAGGTGATGTGAATTTCAAAACTCAGCAAATATTATTGTGGTTCTAGGTTCTTGGGAGTTTGTTGTTGACAATTGCTGTTAAGTTGACTCTGATGTACGGCAAGCCTATGACTGAGGGACCTCAAAGTCACCCTATGATCAACAGCCTTT